TTTTTTTTTTTTTTTATGTTTTTCCATTTCAGCTGGAACGTTGCGTTCAAGGTTGTTCTCTGTACTTCTGAAAGCTAGGTTCATGTCTGAGCACGACGTCCAAATCCCTACCACCTTTGGTATGTCGTATCTCTTTCTTCGTTCAGCTACTTTTTACTTCTTGGTATTGCTCATTAAGTGGAGCTTAAATGAGGCACTCAGGATTCATATAGCCGACCCTAAGTTGTTTGATGCTTAGGCATAGTAGTAGTTGTTGTTGTTGTGGTTGGTATTGCTCGCGCTAGTAATTTCCCTTCTTTGCTTCCTAGAAAGCACTTATCGCTCCTTGCTCCTGCAGCAAAGTTGTATTATGTTGCTAGTGCAATTTTTGTGTGCCTGTGCATTAGTATTAAAAATAAAAAGACAGCCCGGTGCACTAAGCTCCCGCTATGCGCGGGATCCGAGGAAGGGTCGGACCACAAGGGTCTATTGTATGCAGCCTTACCAAATATTTTCTGCAAGAGGCTGTTTCCACGGCTTGAACCCGTGACCTCCTCGTCACATGGCAACAACTTTACGAGTTACGCCAAGGCTCCCCTTCCGTTAGTATAAGGCTAAAAATAGAAAATTTGTCTTTTGTCCAATCCAACTTATTTCAAATTTAATGCAGCCACTGAAAAGGATCTATCTCCTCTTTTTTCCACTTATATTATTGTTGACAACCAACTGACTGGAGTGACACTGTTTCGTGCTTTTGTATGGTGTGGACAGATCCGTTCGCTGATGCAAATGCTCAGAACTCAGGTGCAGGTGCGAAAGAATATGTGCATATACGAGTTCAACAGCGAAATGGCAGGAAAAGTCTGACTACCGTTCAAGGCCTGAAGAAAGAATTCAGCTACAATAAAATTCTCAAGGACCTCAAGAAGGAATTTTGCTGCAATGGTACCGTTGTGCAGGATCCAGAACTTGGCCAGGTGAAAATAACTGATGCTATTACCATAGTAGGATGGTTAGGATCACTCTGTTCTTAACCAGAGATCTCGTTTTCAAGTCTTAAGAATGGAAAACTTCTTGGTAGAAAGCATTTTTATACCCCTCTCCTTTTGTCGCTTACGCTGCTAATCTGGATTAGTCGGGCTAGTAGGTTTCTGATATCGGATGCCTAAAGCAAAAAGAAAAGAAAAACTGATGCTATTACCATAGTAGAATGGTTGGAATCACTCTGTTCTTAATCAGAGGTTTTGGGTTCAAGTCTTACGAATGAAAAACTTCTTGGTAGAGAGCGCTTTTATAACCCCTCCCCTTTTGTCGCTTATGCTGCCAATCTGGATTAGTCGGGCTAGTTGGTTTTTGATACCGAATGCCTAAAGCAAAAAGAAAAGATAAACTGACGATGTTCGTTCTCTCTCCTTTTTGTCCTTCTTTCGTCTCTACTGATTGTTTCATTCACATAGGTTATCCAACTTCAAGGCGATCAGCGGAAGAATGTTTCAGCCTTCCTCATACAGGTGTGATCTTATGCCCTATTGCTTGAGATATGATTTAGGAGTATATATAACTATGAACGGTTTTAGTAAAGAATTTAAGTCCTATATATGCACCGACATGTAAACAATACTTACTCGTACAATCAAGTTACAAGTAAATCTCTATGACAAGTATTAATCTATAACTTAGTAAAAATGTCGACTGACCTACTACCATGGGCGGGCATACGATTGGACGAAGCGGTGTCACGCGACACCGGTTCGTCGCAAAATTTTACTAAGTATATGTAATTATTCTGTGCCGATACGAGTAATAAATCGAAAATGACATCACTTGACATGTATTTTCGGCTGGTATGCCGGTTAGGTTCTTGGTTTTGCTTTAAGAGGTAGGAGGTTCGAACCTGAACTAAAATATATTTTTGGCAAAAATTTGAAGAACTTGTTAAAAATTATAGTTAAGCAGAATTGAACTCGAGACCTCTTCTAACTTAAGACTCCACAAAACTAATGCACTAAGGCTACTAGTGGTTTAGAAATGTGGTAATTCACATTATTTATTTTATATTATTATGTAAATATTGATACCGCTTACAAAAAATCCATCTATCACAGGTTAAACGACACTGATAGCATAAAAAGTATTTGCGTTGTCAGGGTAATATTACTTAAATCCTTTAGTAAATACGATTTCTTTGTGTTTAGGCTGGCATTGTGAAGAAGGAAAACATCAAGATTCATGGTTTCTAAACACAAGCAAAGGAAGGGGATTGAAGCATTTGTGTGCAACTTCCAGTTTTTTTGCCTTATCAAGAGCGCGCGACGTACGACAGTTTCTGAGTATAATTGTTTTTTGTGGCATTTCTCATATAGCAGAAGCTGGTATTAGTAGCTTGATGTGCAGATCAGTATATGAAAAATCTGGTAGTTGTTTTGTGTGCTGCTTTTCTTGAGTCCCCAATGGAGGTGGAGAAAAATCTCCAAAAATTTACCAGATTATATTATATTAATTCAGATGAACATCTGTGTCATTCTGTATATAATTTACTATCAATATTCATTTGCTTATTTCATGAGCTTTTATTTTGTGCTTATTAGTGTTCTGCAAATTGGCTGGTTTAAGTTCTGCACAGCAATTTTTGAACTCGCTCTCTTACACTAAATCTTCCCTTATCCCAACAAAGATTTTTATATATGACCAAAAATATTTTTTCGCCCTTTTTTGCGCAATGTAGCCCGTTAGAGACGCATTATTTAGCTTGAATGATATCATCATTAATGTTTGAGATTAAGTTGATAAAAAAATTATTTACACAATTAGATCAACCGCAATGTAATCATATGTAAATCTCTCATATACATCATAAGTGAATACAACTTAAATCCTTAATATTTTCTTTAACTACATACGGTAATTGTGGTTGCAAATAAACTTACATGCATGCATATTTGAACTAAACAAATAAATGCATGATACACGTCTTATGTTAATATATTTTCACTTTAATTTATAATTTTTATGATTAAAATTGATTGGTTAAATTTAAATGCGGAATGTGAGTAAATATTTTTCATTAAACACCGGAAAGTATAAGAAATCGAAAAACATTTCAAGTACAAGAGAGTTATACTAAGGGGTCGTTTGGTACGGGATAAGGTGGGATAAATTGTGGTACTAAATTTATACTATGCTTGGTTGGCGGACTGTCAATCAAACATAGTATAAATTTAGTCCCAGGGTTAATCCTAGATATCCCATCAAACTTGGTATATTTTATCCCACCTCCAAAATAGAACTAGCTAGTTTAGAGATTATAATTCCAAAACTATAATTCCGGGATAATTTAATCCGCGTATCAAATCCCTAATAGCTATCAGTTAACCATCAGTAGACAAATATGAAAGACGACACAATTATTCATGTGAGGGGAAATAAATATCAAATAAACAATTAAGCTACATTCCCATCAGATAGAGACGAAGATTTTTAATTTGGTGTTGCGCATTAGTCCTTAAAGCTCTAGTTCATATCAATTATAGTTAATTGTCAATGAATCAACTTCTTAAAACTTAATGTTTTCTTTTTCTTAAAAGAAATATTCTTTCTAAAAAAAGAACATTAAAGTGCAGAGAAAGGAAAAACGGACATGAAAAAGCATTTTTGTGAGTGTGTAGAGAAAGAAATTAAAAGAGTCAGTTATTTTATTTCCATACATTACTGCAAGTCTGCAACTCGAAATCAAATACTATGATTTTTATCCCAATCTTTGGATTTATATCAAATTCTCTTTGCAAACAATTCTCCTCTGTAGGACTCGTCAGTGCCATAATGAAGAAGGGAATTTTTTTTATTTATGGAAGAGGTGATTGATATTTAATTTTAATCCAAAACTCAAGCCGAAAATGATTTACCCATTATAACAAGAATAAACAAATTTATCATAGAAGTGATCATAATTTCTTGAGATTAATAATTCTAAAATGCTAACACGTTCAACACAAAAAAAAATTAAAAAAATTATGATCTACCATAATAGCTCGTTAAAAGTACAATTTGTTACTCTCCGTAAGAAATAATCTTGTTAAGAACTGTCCGTCACTTTTTTTTTGTTATTCAAAAATTAAGTTAACCAATTTTTATAACTAAACATGACAAGTTGATATTGTGTACGGGTAAAATCGGGGGCAAAATTTTTCCGGTTTCCCAATAAGGAAACAAGAGGGAAGCACAGTTCGATGCGACTATAAGCAAGGCCGAAGGACCCCTCGTATCGGAATCCGGGAGGAGTTAACGATGTACCTGGGATCAGCCACGGTAAAATAACTGACCCAAACCATGTAAAGTTTCTAGACCACGGGAAATGCAGGGAACGATTATGCATGGCAAGCAGGAGCCGTAATACTCTCCCTCAACCGGATATTATGGTGCGAATCCCGTCTGATATCAACAACGGATCGACATTTACCGAAAAAAGAAGATTTTTACCTTATTTAGACTTGTACTAGAACTGAAATTTCTCTACTATATAAATAGAAAAGTTTTTTTTATTTTAACGGGTAGTTAATACGCAAATCAAAGCAATAAAAATTTATTTTTGCCTTCTAGCTATTATTCAAAGTGTTCTTCAGTCATTCTTTTCTTTACGTGCTACCGAACTTATATCGAGGGTCTGATTGAGGACCAGACTTGATCATCACAGTATAATTGATTTGATCTTTCATTTTATCTTTAATTTAATTACATGTTATTCTTAGATCATTCGTATTGAATTAAATCACATATCCTTTGAACCGCTTACAAATTTAATTGTTACTCATTTTTAGGGTAAACAGTTTGGCACCCACAGTGGGGCTAAGGATAATAGTGGTGATTTAATACGAATCTCCATAACACACCATATTTTACGCTTGTTCTTTGAAGTTTTGATTCCAGGTTAGCCTAAGGATGTCAAATTCTCAGTCTGCTCACTTGAATATTGACGCTGGGTCAGACCATCATGGTGAGAATAATAACTGTTGCACCCTATTTTGCACTAGTCAAAACAAGGTTCATTTTATGGTTTCTCTATTGTTGATGAAAGAGAGTCGCCACCTAATATTTAAAGGTATATTAGGATACCTATTTAATTACTAAAGGCCATATTCTTCATTAGTCTGTTAACCAGTGAGATTATGAGTAAGGGTTCTTTTTCTTCTAATGGAAAGATATTAGGCACCCCTTAAAATCTACCCGAGGTAGCTCCATAAGACTTAGACTAGATTTAGGACTAATTATTTGTACAATGCTTAACTAGTGCTTAAAGAGTGTGGCCTACCATATATTAAGGCATAATACCTACAAAGAAAAAGTGTAGTTTAAAGAGGAATTGTTATGGAATAATAGAAAATAAAGTAAATAAAGAGGAATTTAAAGGGAGATAATTAATAAACTTTTCTTCATAATATTCTTCTAAATGTTTGGGCCTATTTATAGGCACTTTGGCATGAAAGGATTTGGCCACTTATCCAAAGTCCTGACACTTGTTGAAAATCTTGACATTTGTTGAAAAGGCTTTGCCACTTGTTGAAAGTCTTGGCACTTGTTGAAAGTCTTGACATTTGTTGAAAGATCTTGCCACTTGTTGAATGCCATGCCACTTTATAATTTCATAATACATGAACATTCACTCTTAATATTATTTATAATACTCCCCCTTGAATGTCCATTAGTAGATAATGCGCCTCGTTAAAATCTTACTAGGAAAAACCTAGTGGAAATAAATTCTATTAAAGGAAAAAGATTACACATATTTAATAATATGCTTTTTGGTTGCCTCATTAAAAATATTGCAAGAAAAATCCAGTGGGACAAAACCTTATAAGAGAAAAAGAGTACAACACGTATTGACTCCCCCTGATGAGAACATCAATTCACATCTTTGAGCCTTCGCATCCCAATCTTATACAGTAGTTTCTTGAAGGTTGACGTTGGTAGAGATTTGGTGAACAAATCAGCCATATTATCACTTGGACGAATCTGTTGCACATTGATATCACTATACTTTTGAAGAACATGTGTGAAAAATAACTTTGGTGAAATGTGATTTGTCCTATTTCCCTTTATGAATCCTTCCTTCAATTGGGCTATGTATGCTGCATTGTCTTCATACAAAATTATGGGTATTTTACCATACTTTAAACTATATTTTTCTCGAATAAGATGTATTATAGACCTCAACCCCACATATTATTGACTTACTTCATGAATAGTAATTATCTCAGCATGATTAGATGAAGTATCCACGATTGATTGCTTAGTCGATCTCCAAGATATGGCAGTGCCTCCACATGTAAACATATAGCCTAATTTAGATCGAACCTTGTGTGGGTCAGATAAATACCCAGCATTGGCATAACCAACAAAATCAGAGCTGCAATCATTGTCATAAAATAAACCCATATCAGTAATTCTTTTTAGATACCGCAATAT